GTTCCCAGACTTGATCACACAACATCTCACAGTATTTACCAGTACTTACTCTGTGATATATGTAACGTTCCCAGACTTGATCACACAACATCTCACAGTATTTACCAGTACTTACTCTGTAGTATATGTAACGTTCCCAGACTTGATCACACAACATCTCACAGTATTTACCAGTACTTACTCTGTGATACATTTAACGTTCCCAGACCTGATCAAACATCTCACGGTATTTACCAGTACTTACTCTGTAGTATATTTAACGTTCCCAGACTTGATCACACAACATCTCACAGTATTTGACAGTACTTACTCTGTGATATATGTAACTTTCCCAGAATAGATCACACAACATCTCACAGTATTTACCAGTACTTACTCTGTGATATATGTAACGTTCCCCGACTTGATCACACAACATCTCCCCATTTCTGTGCTGTTTGACTTCTGGCATGTCAGAGAACTATTCCTTTGACAACTGTGGGGGAAACATATCTGAAAATGAAATAAATAATGAATAATATCAAAATGGAACATTATGTATTGATGTAATTTAACAAATCAATCTACAAGTTACTATTTTGAGTATGTTGAATAAAATACTTTCATACTAGTATGTTTACTATTAGAAGGCATGGTAGTCTAGTGTGAGGAAGCCAGGCACGTGACCTCAGGGTTGCAGGTTCGAGTCAGGACACAGCATACTCCAACAATGTAAGAGGTTTTACGCGGCGAAAAACTTTTGACAGGCGCCGTGTAACGAGGTCGCAGTCGGCAAAATCATATCCGATTGAAAAAAGGCCGACCAGGGGCCTCTCATGTTATGGGAGTAGACACAGCACTGTTTTGTGTAGTAGAGCAAGATACTTTACTCCGCTTGTTCCAGTCTACTCAGCTGTAAATGAGTATGTGGTTGGGCAGTGCTAGAATTGTTGAATGCTATCTGTGAGTACCGATATGGCAGCACCGGCTGTATGCTCCCCAGGGAGTTGAGAAAGATATTGGCTGGTTGCAAAGGCCCTATAACCACGGATAATAATTTGTGAACCATTTAGTGACGACCTATGAACTAGGTTGTGATAAAGCGGTATATGAGAACCTCAAATTATTATTATTACTATTCACTTACATCTGTACATGCATAGTAAGATATTCTAATTTATCTACCTACACATCATCAGTAATAAATCTACAATTTATTTTCATGGGTCCTTTTCAACTGTATTGCTAAATACAATGGCCCAGTAATGTATTTCCAGAAATTCTATGAGACCACTTAAAATTCTATGAGCATAGGACTCATACTTGCCAACACTTTTTGGACCCAAAAGGTGAGCATATTCAACCAGTGAATTTCTTAAACCGTTCTTTTTTCCCTGGAGATCTGATGATTTCACCTGAAAGAACAGCCCAAACGATGCCATTTAAAAGTGATACTTTTTTCCCTAGGGCGTACAATTTATGCTTTTAATTCTGAGCATGCGTAATCCCCCCCACTCCAGCTGGGAAATTTCAGAAAGTTGGCAAGTATGACCTGGACTTTAATTTATCACTGCACATTTACAAAATAGTAAATGACAGGTGACCACCGACCACCTTTATCTATTAGATAGTTAATTAAGTTCACCTCACCGAGGGGGCAATGTCAATATTCAAGGGAATTCAAATGCAAAGGGGTTAATTGGTTGAGTTTATACAAGCAGACATATCTCGAGCAGGCATATGTTGTTAGGCAAACCCATGTCTTTGATACCAGGACCATAGAAATATAATTGCAACAAGAAATTGCAGCAAAGCTGCCGGACACCAAACCTTTTTATCAAAAAGGACTCACTGGAGGTCAAACAACCACAAGGGAACGGATTCTGCATACTAGAATCTATTTTAATTATAATTATGCAAATTGTTAATGGCATTAATTTTGTCGTTCAGAATATTCCGTTCACGCTCAATATCCTTTCATTTTGCACTATCGTCACTCAATAATTGTCCCACAGCACGCAAATATACAGTTTTAACCACACGTTTAGGCCTAAATGTCAATGATTCGGTAATAACATCATCTTTTGAGAGAGAGAAGCCGGGACATAAGATGATTTACATAAAATATCATTTATACCTTTTGGCAAAATTGCAGAAAGTTTTGCAAATATTTCTTTTGACAATGTACCTATTTTGGATAAAATATCAACCGTCTTCTAGGTTAAAGCGTCAATTTGGTTGTTATCACATACCAGTATTGATTTTATACAAGTGAAATAAATATATCATATTGAACTGGAAAACTGTGAAATTTTCTATTTCTAACACTTTGTCACGTGGCACAGATATTGCTTCATCAGAAAAGCGTGGGAATGTGTAGCGTTATTTTTGACGCCAAGTTGTAATGACGTCACGCTTAACAACAATACAGAGCGCCATTTTGAATGGGTTTTCACTGTTATTTTGTCGTTGCTTGTATTATCTGGTAAGATTTCCAGACAAAAATGATATAAATTGTGTAGTTATGCAAAACAATTATGTAATAATGTATACTGCAAAGGTAGACAACACAACCACTTAGTCTTACGCCACTTCATCTTAACTTGAAACTGAAAATCTACGCAGAGAATATAATGTACCATTCAGATTGGACAATACTAAGAGTGAAGTTTTTACCTGTGAAGTTATTATGTTTCGTTTATTTCATTGCATTAAAGATATGTTTTTATCAAATGTAAAATTCATGATATTCACTAGTAAACTGTAATAAATACCGATACCGAAGGGTTTACCATCAAAGAAATTGTTGTAGACAGTATGCAGCCTCAATTTCCCAGAAGGCTTTCACGCATGCATGGGAAGCAATGGAAGAGGACAATGTGTTTACAGATCAAACCCTGGGGCGCTTGCAGGTTTGAAAAAAATAATGCAAATATATCTTATACATGAACCTGATAACATTAATTATATATTGTGATATATTTGTTGACTTGTTATAACTTGTTGTAACTTTTTATTCAAACCAAATGAAATTGAATTGTATATATATATCAGCACTATAAGGTTCGGAGGGTAGATTGAGGTGGGGGGGTTGAAGTAGAAAATGTGAGCAGAATTCTAGCGCATTTGAAGAGATTGGAACGAGATTAGTGAATTGGTACTCAACCACATCAGACAAATATTGTCTTGTCTTTCAGATCTAATTCAACAGCAATCAAAACAATCATTAAAGCTATTTAAATGGAAAGAGAATTAGGCGAACTCAAGAGTGAAGCAGGCGTACAACACGGAGTTCTACTGAGACAGATTGAAAGTAGTCTGTTGTCAGTTGTAGTGAAAGTTTTAAGATTTACATTAAAATGCTTACATCTTTTGTGCCGAAACCTGAACTTAATCCAATTAAAACAAAACCTATCACGTATAATATGCCTATATGAAATGAAAACGCCATTGTGTAGAGGGGTTCTCTATTTCTTTAGGACGCGGGCTTCCTCTCTATTCAGTCACATGAACGTAAACACTACAAACTACAAAAAAAGACTTCCCTCAAGGGAGCTTACTCTTACCTATTTGATAAGTTTAGGTAGAACGTCACTAATGATTTACAATATGCAAACACCTTTATTTACCGTATAATTTGCATTTTTAACTACCGATTTTCATCTCAGTTTAAAGATTATATCAGACATCTATGGCAAGCCGTTTTAACATTTAACACTATTTCAACTTAAGGGCTTAAGTGTCACATTTTTGAAACCCGCAGCTATTTCAAATGTTTTCCCCAATTACTATTATATATATATATGTAAGATATGATACATATAATTCTGGCAAAACATTTTTAGTCCCCTACCAACAAAGTTGGAGGCGACTAAACACCGACTTCTAGGTTTGTAGTCTGTCAGTCACACTACAGTTTTCAGACTTTTTAAACACTTAAACCAAATGATTTTATTTTTGGTATGTACGCCTATAATTTTGTTACAGATCAAGTTTGAGTTTCACACTGATCAGATTTTATTTGCCAAAAAATGCTCAAGAGTCTCCGGTGTGGTATCTTTCAAAGGCTTTCGAAAAATCAAGAAGGACGGCATTGACTTTGTCTCCATGGTTAAGGCTCCTAGCTATGTCATCTATGGTGAGGATTAGCTGTTTTTTACATTATCACCCTTTCATAAATACATGCTGGAAGTCTGACAGCAAGTTGTGGCAATGGAGATGGTTGAGAACAGCAGTGTAGTAGGCCCTATCCTTGCGTCTGGGCAGCTGCTTGATATGCCTGGTGATGGAAGGCTGACTGAATCTGATGGAAGTAAGATTGGATGGGACAAGATCCAAGAGCTGTTGACTGTATATCTTAAAAGCAAGCCAAAGGGTGTTCACATTGCTGTCTCCATGGTGCTGCTCTGTGAAGGCCACGGCAAGCTGGTCGGCAGTGTCCTGTATAAGGACTTCATCAGCTTTGTCCCACAATTGGGTTCTTCTCTGTACAGGACCCTGGTATGCTGCCTTGATGTTTGAGAGGGTCAGAGCTATGTCATGATCCATGGGTTTGCAGACATTATCTAAGGATGGACGATTTGTTAGGAATTTGTCCAGGATGTTATTGTCCCTAGTTGGAAACTCAACTATCTGCTCTATGTTACTCAGGGAACTGGAGTAACTGCTACCCTGTTCCCAGAGTACTGGAGTAACTGCTACCCAGTTCCCAGTGGAACTGGAGTAACCGCTACCCAGTTCCCAGTTTATGTTGGTAGGTTGGCGTCTCCTGTTATCCAAATAGTAGAGTTAGTGTTGGATTGGACAGAATCTTCTATGTATACTCAGTGTTGTTGTTTGTTGGTCTGTAGATTGTAGATGATGAATAGTGTGTTGTTATCATTGCAGGTGATATTAACAGCAACCCTTTCTGTGTTATTATCATAGATAATACTTCAAGGGGTGGTAACTTTAGCAGCAATAATAACTTCGCCGTAGCCTGATGATCTGTCACGCCTAGCAACAACATGGTGACTACTGGGAAACAACTCTGAACCAAACATATCGGGTTTAACCATGTTTCTGTGCCAACGATGATGTCTGGGTCGACACTGTCAATTAAGTTACACAGTTCTTCTCTCTCGTTACATATACTTTGGAAGTTGACTGTAAGGACGTTTAGGTTGTTTCTATATTCCTTATGTATCGCATTCCGGAGTGGAGATGAAGAGTAGGTTGCCTGTCCCGGATGTACAAAGAACGTTTAGACATTTATTGTTTTGTAGAAAGTAAGCACTACAGCTCAATCAACATCCTAGAAATTCAACGGATTACAGTATACAGGGAACTTTTCGCCAAGACAAATTTTGGCCTTTCACTTGTTACCGCCATGTCCGCCCATAGTTGATTTCGCCCTGAAAATCTAATAACTATATAGGGTATGCTGTTAATTTATTTGCGCTGTTATGATAAATTCGCCCTTATTTTGAAGGGCGAAAAAGGCGAAAATCGAAATGGCGGAAATTTCCCGGTACATTATGTACTCTTCTGTTCTCTGCACCCCTGGAATATGTCATGGCAAAATCGAAGGCTCCGTTTATGACCACCTTTTGGATAATGAATGTAAAAGTGATTCTTTGGTGTACATCGATAGAATCCTGTGACAACGTAACGGTAAATTGTCAGGCTATGACATTGGGTGTCCTTCCGATTTTATCTTCAAAGTGCATGTATCAGCCGAGAGATTTCGAAAATATTTTTACCTAAAACCAATTAAATAGCTAACATCGTGCTTTTCTTTTTGGTTCAAGACATATTTCAGGGGTGCAGAAGAGTTACGTGAGCGTAACCCATGGACTTTCGAGGATGGTCAATCAAGTACTATGGTGTGCCTAGTGTAGCGTGTTTATCTCGTCTCAAGCTAATCGTTCGCCGTCAAAACTACATTTTATTGTGGTTGGCAATGAATAGCTGGCGTAGTGTGAATTAAATGCTGTACCTGTTGATGTGGAAGACGGTTATACATTCTCTGTAATGTTGGTACATGATGTAGGGGTTATTATGTTCTAAGATTGGAAGTGCTTCATCTTTGGCGGTTTGCTTTTCCTTACCACAATAATTGTAGGAATACATTTTAGCCCGAAGTCAAACAAACTCCTTGATTTTCGTCTTTCATTTCCCCTAACACTTCACTGCAGCACTTTACAACAAATTGTTGATTTGATAATTGAATGTCAAACAGGTTCAGGATCTCAAACATATCAGCATAGGTGTCTTCTGTTTGTGTCACATTGGTTCGGGTTGTTTTGGTCTTATTTTGTTAAACGTCCTTTTAACAGCTAAGGTCATTTACGAACATGTCTCCAGGTATTACGCGTATGCGTGCATGTTTGTATGTGTGCCGGAGACAGGGTATGTTGGTGTAAGGCATTCCGTCCGGTCACATTATGCTGACAACGGGTGAACTAGTTGTTGCCATTTCCCCAAATGCTGAACATTAAGCAGGGAATAACAACTACCATTTTTTAGGACTTTGCATGGTCCCAGCCTGGGGACAGAACCCATTGCCTTCCTCACCTTGGCGAACGCTCAATATTCAAACCAAAAGTGAGGTATTGCCAAACAAGGAGCTAGGAAATAAAAGGTAGTTAGAAGTAGACAGAAATAAAAAGATCCCAAATATTGCAATGGGTGCAGCAAATTTATTTTGAGAGTTTTTGTGTCCCCAAGAGGAGAGCACAAAAGCAAATCCCCAATTCAATTCTACAGGGGGTTCACACTTTAGTCGCCTCATACGATACTTTCCTTAGGTAACTTCGGGTTTATTCTTTATCGGTTCCTGCAGGCGTTGTCACATAGGTGGGATACCGGTTCTGTAAATGAAAGTTTCGTATTCTGTCCATAGTTCATATATATATATATATAATAGTTTTGGATATTTCCAATATGTTAAATCATACGTAGACGAGGCGGTAACGTCACAAGTTGATTTTCTGTATTTGTATACCAATTAAGTCTTTATTAAAGATTCTACAGTCTTGTAAAGATTGTCTGGCACAATATTCGCAAAGTTTGTGTGTGTGTGATTTAAAAAATAATAATTGAGTACTTATCTAAAATCATAATCTAAAAATCGGCTAGAAGGTGTATGGAACAAATTGGTTATAAAATAAAGCTTACCCGGCTTTATTTGGGGAACTAGTTTAATTTTGGGCTAATTTGGATTTTGCAATATTATGTAATCATTTGCAAATTATGAACTCTGTCAATTTGAACGCTGAAATAACCAGATTTCATATCTTGCGACTCCATACAGATAATAGCCTGACTCCACTCTCCAGACAGTGTCATTTCCAACAAAATGTCTTTACCTAATCATACAAGACCGTTCACTTCCTCAAGTTTATGTCAGTGAGATATGTGTGACGTGTCTGCAATATAAAAAGTACAAACTATCGTTAGAAGCTGTAATTAGTCCGACACTGTTCTAGAACAGACGACAATTTGGCGGTAGTGACTTTCGGTTAACGATGCGACGACTTGAAGAGACGCCGTTTGATCATATCTACAATCGATACTTGACACATAGGTGTACTATTGACACGTCTATTAATGACGATCGGTACTTAACACCAGGGTGTAATGTAAACACGTGCTGTTGAAATGTGGGTGAATGTACTATTAACATGTGAGTGTGCTGCTAACACGTGAGTGTACTGTTAACATTTGAGTGTACTGTTAACATGTGAATGTACTGTTAACATGTGAGTGTACTATTAACACGTGAGTGTTCTGTTAACCCGTGAGTGTATTGTTAACATGTGAGTGTATTGTTAACACGGGAGTGTTTTGTTAACATTTGAGTGTACTGTTAACATGTGAATGTTCTGTTAACTTTGGAGTGTATTGTTAACACGTGAGTTTATTGTTAACAGGTGAGTGTATTGTTTACACGTGAGTGTACTGTTAACATGTGAGGGTATTGTTAACACGTGAGTGTTTTGTTAACATTTGCGTGTACTGTTAACATGTGAATGTTCTGTTAACTTTGGAGTGTATTGTTAACACGTGAGTGTTTTGTTAACATTTGAGTGTACTGTTAACATTTGAGTGTATTGTTAACATGTGAGTGTTTTGTTAACATTTGAGTGTACTGTTAACATGTGAGTGTATTGTTAACACGTGAGTGTACTGATGACACGTGAGTGTATTGTTAACACGTGAGTGTATTATTAACACGTGATTGTATTGTTAACACGTGAGTGTATTGTTAACATGTGAGGGTACTGTTAACACGTGAGTGTACTGTTAACACGTGAGTGTATTGTTAACACGTGAGTGTACTGATGACACGTGAGTGTATTATTAACACGTAATTGTATTGTTAACACGTGAGTGTATTGTTAACATGTGAGTGTACTGTTAACACGTGAGTGTACTGTTAACACGTGAGTGTATTGTTAACACGTGAGTGTATTGTTAACATGTGAGTGTATTGTTAACACGTGAGCGTACTGATGACACGTGAGTGTATTATTAACACGTAATTGTATTGCTAACACGTGAGTGTATTGTTAACATGTGAGTGTATTGTTAACACGTGAGTGTACTGATGACACGTGAGTGTATTATTAACACGTAATTGTATTGCTAACACGTGAGTGTATTGTTAACATGTGAGTGTATTGTTAACACGTGAGCGTACTGATGACACGTGAGTGTATTATTAACACGTAATTGTATTGTTAACACGTGAGTGTACTGTTAACATTTGAGTGTACTGTTAACATGTGATTGCACTGTTGACACGTGAGTGTACTGTTAACACGTGAGTGTACTGTAAACACGTGAGTGTACTGTTCACATTTGAGTGTACTGTTAACACGTGATTGTATTGTTAACACGTGAATGTACTGTTAACATTTGAGTGTACTGTTAACACGTGATTGTATTATTAACATGTGATTGCACTGTTGACACGTGAGTGTACTGTTAACATTTGAGTGTACTGTTGACACATGATTGTATTGTTAACACGTGATTGTATTGTTAACATTTGAGTGTACTGTTAACATTTGAGTATACTGTTAACACATGATTGTATTGTTAACATGTGATTGTATTGTTAACACGTGAGTGTACTGTTAACATTTGAGTGTACTGTTAACACATGATTGTATTGTTAACACGTGATTGTATTGTTAACATTTGAGTGTACTGTTAACATTTGAGTATACTGTTAACACATGATTGTATTGTTAACACGTGATTGTATTGTTAACATTTGAGTGTACTGTTAACATTTGAGTATACTGTTAACACATGATTGTATTGTTAACACGTGATTGTATTGTTAACATTTGAGTGTACTGTTAACATTTGAGTATACTGTTAACACATGATTGTATTGTTAACATGTGATTGTATTGTTAACATTTGAGTGTACTGTTAACATTTGAGTGTACTGTTAACATGTGAGTGTTTTGTTTACACGTGATTGTATTGTTAACACGTGAGTATACTGTTAACACATGATTGTATTGTTAACACGTGATTGTATTGTTAACACGTGATTGTACTGTTAACATTTGAGTGTACTGTTAACACATGATTGTATTGTTAACACGTGATTGTATTGTTAACATTTGAGTGTACTGTTAACATTTGAGTATACTGTTAACACATGATTGTATTGTTAACACGTGATTGTATTGTTAACATTTGAGTGTACTGTTAACATTTGAGTATACTGTTAACACATGATTGTATTGTTAACACGTGATTGTATTGTTAACATTTGAGTGTACTGTTAACATTTGAGTATACTGTTAACACATGATTGTATTGTTAACATGTGATTGTATTGTTAACATTTGAGTGTACTGTTAACATTTGAGTGTACTGTTAACATGTGAGTGTTTTGTTTACACGTGATTGTATTGTTAACACGTGAGTATACTGTTAACACATGATTGTATTGTTAACACGTGATTGTATTGTTAACATGTGAGTGTACTGTTAACATTTGAGTGTACTGTTAACACGTGATTGTATTGTTAACACGTGAATGTACTGTTAACATTTGAGTGTACTGTTAACATGTGAGTGTTTTGTTTACACGTGAGTGTATTATTAACACGTGAATGTACTGTTAATATTTGAGTGTATTGTTAACACGTGAGTGTACTGTTAACATTTGAGTGTACTGTTAACACGTGATTGTATTGTTAACATGTGATTGTACTGTTAACATGTTAGTGCAATGTTAATAAGTCTGTTCTTTTTCTTAACATTTTCTTCAGGTTGGTGATTATGGATAGTGAAAAAAATCATGTAGCACAACAAAAGAGTGTGTATAAGCGCCGTTTCGATGACTAGTATGGTATGTACTCTGTTACCTAAGTGTACATAAAGGTGGACAATATGTACGAGTTTTCCACAAATCGATGTCGATTCGGCTATGCTGTAAGCTTATGCAAAATGAGTTGTTATATAGGTACCAAGATGACTCGATTCAGCTACGCTTTGTTTTGGTCATAGATGTGCGAGAGTCTATGAGCCCGATCATCTCGATTCAGAACTGGCCCACTGCGGCGTATCCAGATGACTTTCTTTATCTGCCGCTTCAACAGATTGATTGTTCTCTCTGTCTAATAACATGGAGTTATCCCAGTCAATCACATGATTTATCTGTGTGGCATGGTCTGTGATTGACGATTTATTGATCTGGGACTCCGACTGCTTCTTTTCTGATCTGGTGTATTTATTTTCCTCTTGGGTTTCCGTATCTTTCCGGTGTTCACCAAGGCGGACCCCAAATCGCCTTCCGGCCTCTCCAATTTGCGATGCGTCGTAGTTTTTGTACTGGTTGATGCAAAAAGAAACGTCACATATAATCACTTTTTGGTTGTGCTACATGAATCTTTTCACAATCCGGTTCTTACATCAGTGTACTATTAACACGTTGGAAAACTCTAAGAACAGGCGGTAACCCTTTATACTTTAATGCACTGTTATATGATATTCTTCAGCATGAATTGACATAGGTAGAAGATTTACAAAGGAAACTGTCTGTGGGATGATTGCTTACAGATAATTATTACAAAGATAACATTCTAGCTGTAAAAGGGAAGGTTTGAATACTTAAATTACGTCGCTAAGAGTCGCTCACATTGTGAGCGTTATATATGTCAGTACTAAAGATAGTGAAGGAGGACTTTTACATCGACGGTATTCTGGCTGCTGGTATAAAAGGAGATGAGGACAGTAGACTTACCCACTATGTGTGTACTACATAGAAAACATCGATGTTTTCAGTGAAAAAACCCCATCGATGTTTTAAGTAAAAAAGAAAACATCGATGTTTTCAGTGAGAAAGGAGAGAAAACATCGATGGTTTCAGTGAGAAAGGAGAGAAAACATCGATGTTTTCAGTGAGAAAGGAGAAAAAACATCGTTCGAAGAAAAAAGGTAGTTTATTCGTCTGTTATTTCTACAAGAAGCATATATGAGTAAACATGTATTTATATATTATAACTGAGTATAATTCATGCATTTCCCAGAGTGATACAAACACATAACAACAACATCCTGATAAATCATCTAGTTATTGATAACAAAACCCTGCTGTATTAATACTGTCAAACAAGTCATAATCTGTGAGGAAAATATAACAAAATCAAGTATAGTAAATTTGTGCATGTGTGAGGAGATGATAAGTAAAGGAAGGACACTGTGTCTTGAATTTCTTAATTAGGAGGATTCGAAAATAGAAATTGCTTATCATCACGATTACAACAATAGTTATTAATTGTGAGAACAATTTAGTTCACCTGACAACTTAATGGCTATTACAAATATATAATTACTTATTTTGATTATACTTCAGCATTTATTTTTTCCAACTTAACAACATATAATTGAATTAATTCCTTGTGGTGTACATTTCCTGAAAGCAAACTTCATCGATACGAATGCATTCTGTGTAATGACACAAACGTATTGCTAAATAGAGAGTGACTTCCAGCCCCGTCACCGTGTCGGGCTGGAATAAACAAATAACATGAATACAAATACAGATAAAAATCCACCATTGTGTTGTGCTATAGAAAGAGAAATACTTTGTATATATGGAATACAGAGTAACATTCCGACCCCGCCAGCATGGAAAACAAAATAACAGAAATAAGACGATAGTACATGCAGATATTCACAACACATACAGTATCATATTACAAACAATGCTGATATTTTCACTTTCGAACAATTATCTACTGCGCCATCATGGTTTATGATATAGCCTACTGCGCCATCATGGTTTATGATATAGCCTACTGCGACATCATGGTTTATGATATAGTCTACTGTGTCATCATGGTTTATGATATAGCCTACTGCGACATCATGGTTTATGATATAGCCTACTGCATCATAGTTTATGATATAGCCTACTGCAACATCATAGTTTATGATATAGCCTACTGCATCATAGTTTATGATATAGCCTACGACATCATGGTTTATAATATAGCCAACTGCATCATAGTTTATGATATAGCCTACTGCATCATAGTTTTTGATATAGCCTACTGCATCATAGTTTATGATATAGCCTACTGCAACATCATAGTTTATGATATAGCCTACTGCATCATAGTTTATGATATAGCCTACTGCAACATCATGGTTTATTACCCAATAGTCTATATAAATCATAATTAGTCATTTTTGACTGTTTCTGGCCTTTTGTCCAATTTCGGCTGTAGGGGGGAAACAATCAAAACTGTTTTCCCGGTCGGAGCGAACTGTTACCCGGCGCGAATTCGATGCGCAGAAATCCCCCCTCGAGATGATAGTTTTGACTGTTTCACCCCTACAGCCAAAATTGAACAAAAAGCCAGAAACAGTATACAATTGTTTCATGGTTATTTTGGGAACAGTCAAAACTATCATCCCGAGGTAGGGGAAAGTCCTGGGGAACTGTTTGCCCGAGGCCGCTAGGTTCCCCAAATAGCCATGAAACAATTGTATACTGTTTCTGGCTTTTTGTTAAATTTTGGCTGTAGGGGTGAAACAGTCAAAACTTTTTTCCCGGTCAGAGCGAACTGTTACCCGCAGAAATCCCCACTCGCGACCCCCGTTCAAGCGTTTCGGTGACTGCAACTTAGTGTTATTGGTTTAATACTAATACTAACATGTATTTGGTAATAAAACAATTGTTTCTTGGCTATTTGGGGAACAGTCAATACTACCATCCCTCGGTAGCGGACCCTTTGGAACTGTTTGCCCTCGGCCTGGCGGCCTCGGTCAAACAGTTCCCCAGGTCTCCCCCTACCTCGGGATGCCATGAAGCAATTGTATATTGTGCTAAAGCCTACTACGACATTTCAGTTTATGATATACCCTACTACGACATCATGGTTTATGATATAGCCTACTGCATCATAGTTTATGATATAGCCTACTGCATCATAGTTTATGATATAGCCTACGACATCATGGTTTATGATATAGCCAACTGTATCATAGTTTATGATATAGCCAACTGTATCATAGTTTATGATATAGCCTACGACATCATGGTTTATGATATAGCCTACGACATCATGGTTTATGATATAGCTAACTGCATCATAGTTTATGATATAGCCTACTGCATCATAGCTTATGATATAGCCTACTGCAACATCATAATTTATGATATAGCCTACTACGACATCATAATCTATGATATAGCCTACTACGACATCATAATCTATGATATAGCCTACTACGACATCATAAACTATGATTAGTTTATGATATAGCCTACTGCATCATGGTTTCTGATATAGCCTACTGCATCAAAGTTTTTGATATAGCCTACTACGACATCATGGTTTATGATATAGCCTACTACGACATCATGGTTTATGATATAGCCTACTACGACATCATAGTTTATGATATAGCCTACTGCGTCATCATGCTTTATGATATAGCCTACTGCAACATCATAATTTATGATATAGCCTACTACGACATCATAGTTTATGATATAGCCTACTGCAACATGGTTTATGATATAGCCTACTGCAACATAGTTTATGATATAGCCTACTGAAACATGGTTTTTTGATATAGCCTACTGAAACATGGTTTATGATATAGCCTACTGCAACATGGATTATGATATAGCCTACTGCATCATAGTTTATGATATAGCCTACTGAAACATGGTTTTTTGATATAGCCTACTACGACATCTTAGTTTATGATATAGCCTACTGAAACATGTTTTTTTGATATAGCCTACTACGACACCTTAGTTTGTGATATAGCCTAATGCATCATGGTTTTTGATACAGCCTACTGGATCAAAGTTTTTGATATAGCCTACTGCAACATGGTTTATGATATAGCCTTCTGCATCATAGTTAATGATAAAGCCTACTACGACATCTTAGTTTGTGATATAGCCTACTACGACATCATGGTTTTTGATACAGCCTACTGGATCAAAGTTTATGATATAGCCTACTGCAACATGGTTTATGATATAGCCTACTGCAACATAGTTTATGATATAGCCTACTGAAACATGGTTTTTTGATATAGCCTACTGAAACATGGTTTATGATATAGCCTACTGCAACATGGATTATGATATAGCCTACTGCATCATAGTTTATGATATAGCCTACTGAAACATGGTTTTTTGATATAGCCTACTACGACATCTTAGTTTATGATATAGCCTACTGAAACATGGTTTTTTGATATAGCCTACTACGACATCTTAGTTTGTGATATAGCCTACTGCATCATAGTTTATGATATAGCCTACGACATCATGGTTTATGATATAGCCTACTGCAACATAGTTTATGATATAGCCTACTGAAACATGTTTTTTTGATATAGCCTACTACGACTCCTTAGTTTGTGATATAGCCTAATGCATCATTGTTTTTGATACAGCCTACTGGATCAAAGTTTTTGATATAGCCTACTGCAACATGGTTTATGATATAGCTTACTGCATCATAGTTTATGATAAAGCCTACTGCATCATAGTTTATGATATAGCCTACTGCATCATGGTTTCTGATATAGCCTACTGCGACATCATAAACTATGATATAGCCTACTGCGACATCATGGTTTATGATATAGCCTACTGCGACATCATAGTTTATGATATAGCCCACTGCGACATCATAGTTTATGATATAGCCTACTGCAACATAGTTTATGATATAGCCTACTGCAACATAGTTTATGATAGTGTTTACTACGACATCATGGCTTATGATATAGCCTACTGTACAAATGTATGGCATACACTATGGTGACACTGTCATTTATGGAAGATAAACATATCTAAGTAAATTAGTAAAATGTTTTTTTGACAGAAGCAAGTGACTTCGTGTAACTCAATGTTTAGGTGACATCACCGAGTAAATCATAATAGTGAAAAACGACACACATGGTAATATTAAGTGGATAAAATTGCTATGAGGAGCAACATGCATATTAATACCGCACGACTTCTTGTGACAGTATTGTCCATAGCAGACCAGACTAAGTGAAAACGTCAGGTAAATGGTCATTTTTTAACCATTAGTCGATCAAGTATAAAAATCATATACATTTTATAATCAATTTATAACAATGTTTGGTACGTAACAGGACACAGACAACATCAATATCTTTTAGTCATGAATATTGTACGGACAGTTATTTCCGACATAAATTTACTGTACACTGTACAATCATTTTATATGAATAATATAATATGAAAACGAACACAACCAAAAAAGTACAAAAATAACCAAGTACCCCCAAACACTTGCTGATGTAGATTCAATCAGCAGTCCATTGTCACACTGAAATCGTTAGCCAATCAGAAGTCCTCTGTCACACTGTAAACATAAGCCAATCAGAAGTCCGTTGTCATACTGAAAGCATCAGCCAATCAGAAGTCAGTTGTCATACTGAAATCATCAGCAAATCAGAAGTCCGTTGTCATACTGAACTCATCAGCAAATCAGAAGTCTATTGTCTTCTGAAATTATCAGCCAATCAGAAGTCCGTTGTCATACTGAACTCATCAGCCAATGAGAACTGACGAAATGTGTACATCCGTTCCTTCTCCAAAGCTAAGCGCCGATTACAAACAATGTGCTGATGGCTGTTTATTACTACCAGTAATCTACCGTATTCTGACAACAGTTGGAGAGGAATGACCGGAGGACATACAGCCTGCCTTCATAACGTCATATCTCTGTCGAGTTACAAGGGATTGTCCAACTGAACAAGACAAGCGACAAGAATGGAAACAAAACAATGTATGTTTGTAATATTTTCTTTTCAAACAGAGATTATATTATAACAACAAAATAACACAAATTACTCAACATAAATAAAAAAAACATATATAAAAGATGATTTACATTATAAAAATATTCTCTAAACAATAGCAATACACTTATAGCTAAACAACAAACACAACTTTAAGAATACTCAATGTAGATTTTTCGTCAACGATAATGTACGCTTAAATTTTGTCAACGATTAAATCATCTCCTAGACGAACTGACATCCTCTTAATTGAATTCAAAAGGTACTTAGATGAAAATGGTTGTGTAAATTAATCCATTTTTCTCGATGGTTTTATAAATCAACTGATTCACGGGGATTTTGAACTCACGTAATGGAATAACTTCAATTTAAGGATCGCTGTCCCACTGCCCGTTGTTTTTTCGTATATACAGAAGCGGCCCCTTAAACTCGTGTAGGATATAACTGTAGCATTGTTGGCCAGGGCACTTTCGTTGACCAGGTAGCTAACTCGGTGAGAACGACAGTTTACCAATCTGAGGCCCAAAGTTCGAAACGCGGTCTAGACCAGCTGAACTTCATACTCAGATTACTGTGGTTGATTATGTTTTGTTTATTTTTTCCTTTATTATTTTTACATAAAACTCTTGCAATGTATGGTTTTCTTTTCTGAAATGATTTATCAAAACTGCAGTAATGCTATAAATACAGTTGTTGGTAGTGGTACGGGGATCCTTAATGTCCATTGATCTATAACGACTGAATGCATATAACCGCGAGATATTTGGATTTGTTTGACTGATTAACCGTGTAGATAAACCAACGGAGTACTACATTGACAATACTAAATAATACTTTTAACAAGAAGACATTACATTTGTTTTCTCAAATAGTGATAGGAAATATAGAAAACAAATAATTACAGTATTTTCATGGTCAAGTAATGCTTAAACCTCTTCACTTCATATCAAATACGATAGTAGTGAAATGAAAAATAAATGGCTAATTTATAAGAGACAAACGTTTCGAAAGCAAAGAGGGACTGTAAAATGGACATCGAGAACATTTGCCAAGCTTCATTACGACCTTGCTTACCCGTTATAATGTTATGTTGATGACGACTGACAAAGCGCAATATTTGGGAATTTTACTATTTAAAATCTCGCAAATAATGTCAGGTCACTTTTCTGGCGAGAAGTTGACACATTTCCGTTCATCCGGAATCACGCAGTATCCTAATTACTTGAACAAAAAATCACTTTGTTCAGTTCTTGGTAGGATAATATTTTCCCGGAACAGCAGAGCCTGTATCTAACATGACTGACATTTTTTATTTGCCCGGTGTCCGTAGTTTTACTGTCGCAGACAAATAAAAGATACACATTATATCGGTTAAATGACACCATCACATGTACAACATGTCTCCTATACCTAGTCAATTAACATCAGAGGCAGCAGCACGGTAACGACCCACCATCTACACGATTAGACTGTCTGGATGGTAAAACGGCTCACCATTTCTATCCGGGAACGACATAGTGTCTAGGCTGTATACATTATTACAGTGACAAGCAGACAGCTTGGACAATGATGGACCGGACATTTCTGGTCAGTTTGCGATGCGAGAACAACTCTTTATTGCATTCCAGGACAGTGTCTGCCAGCTTGATGGCCATACAAGATGCACAAATGGTATTCTGCGACACCAAATTATCAATAATTGAATTACATGTATTTTATGTGTGTGGAAATATATATAAAAATATTCAACAGTATGGAACACACATGAATCATCAACTTTCTAATCCAATCCGTGTACAGCACACAGCTAATACTAAGGATATTGCCAGGAGGACGCTGTGTATATGTAAAGACAGGCTACTGGCGGAACAGATACAGCCTGATTCGTCCATCAGAGGTAGAAATGTGTTCCAAAACGCCATCTTTCTCGGCTTGAAGTTGGGGTGGGCCTGGATGTTAAGTTTTTCCTCGTCCAGTAGGAGGCGATTGATGGACCGGGTGGACGTGTTGTAGATTAGGTAGGGGGTCTCCCCGTCCAGGGTCAGGAATCTGAAATCCAATAATGTCCTTCACATAAAAAAAGTAACAAGAGAAACTCTTCATATACAGTTTGTAATATGAGAAATTATTGATCAAAACACAATGGCCGCCATTATTAGGTATCTCAAAAGCTGAGCTTAATGTGAATATACCACAATCAAAGATAAGGGATGCTGATATATAACAAAAATTCATTGTAAATATAAACACAATGTTGGTTGAGTACAGATTTATATGATACGGTAAAAGTAGAAACTATCACGCCGCGGAAATTCTCGCGACTTGCGCGATGAGTAAATTAGCAAGAAACATCCATACGTATATCTATAAAGACCATAAAATTATAGATCTATATGGAATAGGTAGTTTTCAGAACCATTGCGTATGGGGGAAACTCCACACAAACATCATTTTAAAAAGTCGTATCACGCACATTTCCACACGCTAGAATTGTCACTTTTACAGTAGAAGAGATACTTGTAGCCATCGTCGCGAACATTCAAGGGGAGTACCGGCTACTTCAGTCTGATCACACTAAATATCACAATATACATATGTGACGTTAGTGAATCAACATAATATCTATATGTCACTAATTATTGTAAAATAAATAAGCTGTAAGTATGAATACCATTTGTCCGTCGTTAACATCTAAATGCTTTTGTTTATTCCACATAACTTGAAATTCAATATACCGCAAACTCCCTGTTTTCAGCTTCATGTCTTGAGACTTTCCTACAGTATGGGAATACTCATCACCAACTTACCAAGGTTCCACATGTCTATTATAATGTACTAACGTTCTTGTTTTTGATTTACATGCCAAAACTGAATCACCAGTCTCGGGCCTGTTTTCAGCATTAGGCCTTTTCTAGATGCACATATCTACAACCTGTTATAGGTATAAGGTCTTAACACGGAATTGTATATATGTATCAGGTTTTCCAAGAAATGCTATTCGAGCACCTGCTTTCATCATCAATGTTTTCTTTCCCTAGAACTGCTACTTTTAAGCCTGTTATAAGTATCGTGCTTTCCATACAACTGACGTTCGAACATATCAGATTTCCCCTTGAATCAGTACCTGTTCTCAACATAAGGTTATTATTAGAAAGATACGTCCTATCTTTACATATACATGTAGTTAGTTACCGGAGTGTTCTTACTAACTGTTTCAATACACACAGTAGACAGCTTTCAGTCGTAGTGACGACTGGTCCCGTATTCATGAAACCGTTTTTGTGCTCAAGTATGTATTTGAGCTCACACCAACTTTCTTGTAACTCTCTTAAATCAGGTGACACGGCCACAACTCGAATGTTAGCACTGTAAAGGTATTCAGCATTATATCATTGACACAATGTCAATCTTTTCTCACACGAACAAGAAGTTGGACTGCAGCCTAGATTTTGAGCATGAGACCGGTTTCATGGATACTTGTCCTCGTCTTTCTCTATTTTAGGTCATGTTATTACCTATACTGATCCAATTCGAGGTATTGACGTTGCAATTAATATTTTTCTTTCAACCCAAACCAAAGAATCGTCACCCGGAATATCTTTGCTTTATTAGGCATTTGTATTTACATTTATGATCGCCAAGTTACCTGGTACGATACTCGGAATAGGACATTCACAAAAAAACAAACAATTCTCCTTTATGTAAATTATAACTTGCTCTCTTCAAGTGGAATATGGAAAAATGGATACAGTAAGAACACGGGGATCTTTATAACTAACCTTTTAAAATCGGAACTAGACAAGAAATGAATACTATTTTGTCTTTGATAAACAACTATACGCTCTTCTTTATTTAAAATTCTATTGGACTACTTGAAATCATAGTAAAGTGGTGGTATTCCAAATGTATGTCGAAATTTCCCATACTGACAAAGAAGACTTGATATAAAATCAGGCTTATAATCTGTCATTCATACGTAAAACTATTTTAATATATAACTCCCCCTTCCCAATGCAGGGTGCATATCGACTCTTAAGATAATAAACCCCATATATTTACAACATTGAGTTCCCTAGCTACAATTCATTCACACACGAAATTCAGAAATCTTTTAAATATTCGCCCCCATTTTTTCTATTCAAATCCGCTCTTCTATTTACACAGTGAAGTTTGCCTTTCAGTCATTAGAGAGTCAGACAGACAGACGAACGGACGTCATACGCCATGCCACTGATTTTCTCACAAACATTTGGTATCATATAAGCAAAAATGAAGTTATTTGAAAACAAACAGTTACATTTACATAGTCTTGGTTAATCTAACAAGACATGGACCTAACAGGCACAATGATGCTTCTGTATCACCGCGATCGAGAACAAATATCAGTTTGTCTGATTTTTTAGAAAATTATTGTTATCAATCTTAACATAATCGTTTTTTTGTAAATCATTTCAATTTATGTTAAGTTGGTATGATTGCGAAAAGGAATTTGTTAACAGTTATAACGTTAAATAAAAGTACATAACTTTCTGTCGCATTAACTGTGCATGGAGAAACCCACTAAGATGACAGATAAGGTTATCAACATAAAACGGAAGTATGCTAAATGATTTATAACTAAGATAATCATATCTGCAGGAAAGAAGGTATGACTGAAAAATCGTGTCATATTTATCTTAAAATATATTCTCCTTTATGAAACACTATTAACATACTTCAAGATTTCGTTTTGTAATTGATTTCGACTCAAAAAGCTTTGCTAGTTTAAACCCCCAGTATTAAGCTAGTTTCAACCCCAGTATTTAGCTAGTTTCAACCCCCAGTACTAAGCTAGTTTCAACCCCCAGTATTAAGCTAGTTTCAACCCCCAGTATTAAGCTAGTTTCAACCCAAGTATTTAGCTAGTTTCAACCTCCAGTATTAAGCTAGTTTCAACCCTCAGTATTTAGCTAGTTTCAACCCCCAGTATTAAGCTAGTTTCAACCCCCAGTATTTAGCTAGCTTCAATCCCCAGTATTTAGCTAGTTTCAACCCCCAGTATTAATCTTGTTTCAACCCCCAGCATTAAGTTAGTTTCAACCCCCAGTATTTAGCTAGTTTCAACCCCCAGTATTAAGCTAGTTTCAACCTCCAGTATTTAGCTAGCTTCAATCCCCAGTATTTAGCTAGTTTCAACCCCCAGTATTATGCTTGTTTCAACCCCCAGTATTAAGCTAGTTTCAACCTCCAGTATTTAGCTAGCTTCAATCCCCAGTATTTAGCTAGTTTCAACCCCCAGTATTAAGCTAGTTTTAACCCCCAGTATTTAGCTAGCTTCAATCCCCAGTATTAAGCTAGTTTCAACCCTCAGTATTTAGCTAGCTTCAACCCCAGAATTCAGCTAGTTTCGACCACTAGTATTTAGCTAGCTTCAACCCCAGTATTTAGCTAGTTTCAACTCCAGTATTTAGCTAGCTTTAACCAAAGTATTTAGCTAGTTTCAACCCCTATTTAGCTAGTTTCAACCCCCAGTATTTAGCTAGTGTCGACCCCAGTATTTAGATAGTGTAAACCCCAGTATTTACACGGTTTCTACACACCCATGCTTTACGAAGTTGCTCCATAGCGTCATCACTGTTCGACTGGCCTGTTTGTCTGTCTCGCTATAAGTGTAAAGAGGGTGTCCGACCAGGGGAGCACCGAATAGGTAAAACAGGTCACGACCGTGCGGGACACCTGTTAATGGACAAAAATACAATCATGTTAAATAGAGGAAACAACACAGAGTTCATCATCATTTTTTCGAAAACATATTTCATAGTTATATGAACGATTAACCATACTATTCTGATAGTGCAATTATACAAAAGTTTATCTTAAATAAAACAATAATTAGGTAACATATCAAGAATAATCCTTCATACCCTTCCATTTTGGCCCTGGAGCGAGATGCGATGTATGCTCAAAACTGAAGAGATACAGACGTCTTGTCCATTCGGCCATCATGTTAGCCATGTTGATCATCGGGGCGACAAATACGAGGTCGCTCTCCATCTGAAGAGAGTTTAACATATTGAACCATTAATCTTTCTACAGTCGTAATACAGATGTGATATACCCTCTAAACCATGAAACATGCATTTCCTGTGTTTTAGCATGGACTATTCAGGCGGAGCATTTTAACAGACCTCTTTTAGAATATCGGACTAAGTTTCTGATAAAATCTCGGGCATAGATTCTGTTAAATTAGCATGTCAATATTCTGTTAAATTCTCGGGCTATAAGATTCTGTTAAATTGACGTGATAAGATTCTATTAAATTGTTGTGCTAAGATTCAGTTAAATTGTCGTGTACAGATTCTATTAAATTGTTGTGCTAAGATTAAGTTAATTCTCGGTTTACTGTTGTGTTTAATTTCCGTACTAAGATTCTGTAACATACATATCTTGGTATTTGCCATGGCTTGGAACACGACACACAATCTTAACCCTCGACCAAGGAGACTCTATCTCGTACAGTTACAGATTACAGATTTTACAAGTTTGGTATGACTGGAGAATTTTTGTGTTATATCGTTGCTGACTTACATACCATTCTGGTTTTGACGTAAAACATGATGGCGGGGNCCCCCTCCACCCCTCCCCCCAAAATCCTTAATCTATCGGAGTATTTAACTTTTCATAAAATCACCTCTACAAATTCAACGAATTATGCTGTTTAATTCCAAAAGGTTGGATCCTCCATAAATATAAAATCGCAAAATTACCTATAACTGTATCATCATTGCACTGAAAACAAGTTTAAAAAATATCGAGAAAGTGATAATGCTGTGTTAACGTGTTGTAGCAGTCACGTGATTTATGAAGTACCTATTTAGATCGGGGATGGTAATCAAATTATAAAAACAAATAAATGTACAGAATAATAATAAACGCTATTTGATATAGCGCCCTATCTAGCTAACATAAGCCACCCTAAAACGATGTACAGTTCATAGATATACAATCAATACAATTAGCATATACATTAATCAATACAATTTTATACATTTTTTGAGGAATTCGCAGGAGCTGTCTTATCAGGCGCTAACTACTAGTCCTATGCCAACTTGCTCATATCTCCCTATGTGTGTATGCCTGCGTGTGTGCTGAAGATGTATTGTGTATAAACAAAATTCGCGTAAAAACAACATACGGGGTAGTCGAGCAATGGCAGTTCGAGTACTCCGAGATTACTTACAAACAACATATATAAGAACAAGGTCGGGACCAAGCGAACTATTCGAGGAACAGGGAGTATTCGAGTTATGCAACTTCGAGTAAGTGGGGTTTCACTGTATCTAAATTCACATAATGTTGGTGTATTACATTGTATAAGGTTGAAGAACAACATATGCATGCAAGCGCTCCGCTTTAAGAACGGTGAAGGATTGAAATATCAAGTAAACACTTACTAAGTTAAATGAAACTAGACGCCAATCACGTATAAATCCTACAGGTGCTACCTACCACATACATAACGAGGACTATAGTAGACAGATGTTTAATTTCTATATTTTGATGTAAATTCTTCGGGGGTTCATGTCCGATTAGAAAGTTGGTTTAAAATAACAGATGTCGGGATATGCATGACAAACATTTCATGTTTTATGCACATTTTTCGTGATTAACCGTGTCGTTGACGTTTGGTATAAATATCTTATATAAGCTCCATTTGATGGTGAAAGAAAGCTTTCAAAGTATTAGGTCAAGTTAAATAAAAAAAAGGCCGAGATAAGAAACGGCAAGCGTGATCTTCAGGAAACAGTAGCATATTTGTGTAGGACGTGGGTGTATCAGTATAGAACTGGTGTACACGAGAGCAGAACCCTTTCAACTTTATCTTCAGCTTAATATCACTCTGACGTAAATCGTTAATCTACTACATATATCTTTTAATTAGCAATAGACGGGAAACTGGTTCATGTATTCAAAATAATCACTTTCAGATAAAACCATGCATGTATGTAAAGAGAATGTTTACAAACCCGATTTACAACAAACTGATACCCTCATCATACAGACTGCCCTTTATTACAAAAGGTTTTATCGACATTGTAAAATGTGTGCATTTCGAATCATTTGAAATATGTGTAATTCGAATGATAATTTATCAAGCTACGAGTGTTTTCATGTTTTTATAGGTTGATTTTGACTTCTTGTCCGAATGACTTACAATAACAAGAGACACGTTCATACCATCTCCCTGTTGTGAATTTGTCCAAATTTTGCTTTCGTAATTTTAACTTATTTAATATTAAAGGGAAACAGAATTCATTTCAAATTTAGTGTTCTTATATGATATCATTGAGAAATCTTTGATCAATTGCTTGACTGTTTGCTTTCTTAGCCTCAGAAATACAGTCTATCCTGGATAGACGTTGGAAGCACGGTCCTACTACAAACAGAACACAATACATCACCAGCACACACGCAGGCATACACACATGGGGAGATATTAGCCAGGCGGTATAGGACTAGTAGTTAGCGCCTGATAAGGCAGCTCCTGCGAATTCCTCAAAAAATGTATAAATTTGTATTGATTAATGTATTAATTAATGTATATGTTAGTTTATTGTATATCTATGTACTGTAAAGCGCTCCAGAGTGGCTTATTCTAGCTAGATAGGGCGTTATATCAAAAGGATATCTATATTTTATTTTTATAAATAATTTAAATGCCACAGTCGCCACTCCAGACACTGTTCCGAGTCTTAGACTGTTCTGAATAGATGCGCCTTACTGACGAATAAATCGCGTAGTCAGGGTTTTGTAACGGAGAACCTTAACTCTACTCTTATTTTGTGGAGTAGCATAGTGTCTTTAAATTTGTTTTGCCGTCACAACACTTCATGCTGTTACCCTTATTGTATAGAATTTTAGTTCAGATCCTACGGACGATCGGGAAATCCATCTATACTACTTTTGGATTTCTTGACGTTTTCTGTTTGAATGCTAACCGGCTAATCGTCTATAATTCTTAATCTTAGCGTTTCCTCCTTAAAAGACAAATTACTGGATAGTACACTGAAAACGTGAGCAATATATATAATATTTGTTACAATTTTTGATATATTTTGAATGAAACACTTCTTTTTGAATAAAACAATACAGTTATGATTAATAAATGGAAATGTTCCACTTATTTCTGAAGTTATCATACCGTTTAAAAATTAAACACACTGCTCAATAGATTTTAAGATCAACTAAATTCACTTACGATTTGGCATTTAAAAAATGTAACCGAAAGAATTTAAATCAGATATAATTTGGTATTCCGGAAAGGAAGGCAATTGCCGTCAGTAGGTTGATGCTTTTTACTTGATTAAGAACACTTTCATCTGCTTTATATCATCAATAGCAGTCTAATATTATTTCTCTTAACGTATCATTGATTAGATCTGAAGACGTCGCAGGCTCTGCTTTGATGTGAAGTGCCAGTTTAGAACTAAACATCGAAAAGTGTCTGAATAATCTGTGCACAAGTGTTCCGTATCATTTCTCCGTGTGCGTGGTGATAACGCGTTCACACGCGCACACATATTTAAAAACAAATTTGTTTCGGCAATAATGTGAAAACTTATCTGCAATATCTGTACAAGCATTTAATCAGACGAATGGGCAAAAACTCATCTGTTTATCACGATGAGGTCGTGAAATTTCATTGTAGACCTATTTAACGTTTGTAGTAAAACGTACTTAAGATGTAGTTCGTAGCATATCAATGATTAAAGTAAAGGTCCAATCATCCTTAAGATTATGGTATCAAAACTGACGTAAACGTGTCCAACAGTACTCAGTTGAAAACAAAGCTATTAAGAGGTTTACTTTTACAATAACTATGTACAAGGTTTACTCTTAAAAGTCTTACATATTTACTATTTAGATATCTATCTTATCCATCTTTAAACATGAAGAAGCTACTTTATTTTAGGTTCACGTGTACGAATGCTTGGGCTACCACAAAGAAAAGTACAGGAGTAAGAATACCCGGTAAGTTTATTTAAGTTTTAGTTACTGTAAAAGAGGACATTTTCGCGTTTTTCGCGTTTAGCAAATACGTGCGAAAATATTCACACGCGAATATTTATTTGTAGATCATAGGTATACTACCTATATCGAATATATAGATTTCAGAACCATTTTATCTCTCACTTTTATAGTACTATATTTATGCCATAAATATTAAAGCACTATGGTAAAATTCTTTCTGCATTTACTGTACAGCCATTTGTATATTAAATACCACACTAGGGAGTGTTATAGATATGAAATTCTCCAAACCAAGATAATGTATTTCTATTATTCTCACGATGAAAATGAATCCAGAAGTTCGACTACTGCATTCAACAAATAGCATTGCTACAGTATCACTAAATCTTCTTCTTCTTCTTCAGAACTAACATTCCAAGCTTTATTCACAAATTACAGAAAAGTACCTCGATAAAGTTCAGGAGCGACTCATTGTCTCTGCGAAGATAGTCCCAATTCGAGTACTCGTGCAGAATCAATTCTGAAAAAATGTTGTAAACCAATTCATTAATTTACATGTTGATACTTCAAATAATTGCAACAGACACATGTATGTGGCTAGTTAGATGCAACAGTTCCATTGACACAATCCCGCATTTTTTTTTTTTTTTTTTTAGGTTTTAAGAAATAGTGATTACAACAGTCGTTAATGTGACCCCAGTGTAAACACTTCCTGTCGTGTCCCCTCTAAATCGACGCAGGAAATACCAAGCTACATTTGTTGCCCCGCAAAATGAACATAGTAAAAGCTCACAAAAAACTAATGTCTCATGTCGAGGGTATTGACTGCTGGGGAAAGTTTAGTGTTTTCTATTGTGCACTTATCATTAATTAGCTGTAATGCGGTTGTCGTTGGTTTTGTGAACCTTAACTAACCTATGACTATTTTTGTTAAACCCCTCCCTTGGCTTATGGTTAACACGTAACATCAATATCTAGCGCGGATATAAAGGTTGTTAATACTTTAATTCATCTTTTAGATGTAACTAAATAGGCTAAATCATTTAACACCAGGTAAACAGTAATCACTCATATACGTGTATGTTAAGAGGTATACACTAATAAGAGTACCAGACATCATGCGGGTATCTTGAAGCGTTTAGTGAATAGAATTGGCGATATTTTCCATGATTACCATGATTTTCCATGATTACCGTGATAAAAGCAAGATGGCAAACCACGACGTGAGGAAAAACAAACATAATGGTCGAGAAATGAAATTTTGATTGTCATTTAATATCTTTCAATGATCTTGAATAGTAAATGACCCTAAATAATATTTGTACGTGTTCTTAAATAATAACTGTATATAATCTTTAATAATATTTATAGAGACTCCTATCGTTAAGACAATAGATTATTTGATAAATGGCCTGGAGACTTGTAATTACACAAACTTGTATTTAGGCATTAAGTGACGTTATTACTGCTGGTGATATAATAAGGGTTCCGGTAATTAGGGTAAGACATATTTATAATATATCATGCGATATAAAATATATTCTAGTAATCATGATAACAATAAGTACGTATAAATGATGAAATGCAGGAATAACACAGAGATGTTCACAGAGGTCGATATAATGTAGAGCTCTGAGCTCTGAGATCGATTTCGCATTCCAGATACAGAATATGTGTATGATCAAAAGGGGGTCCTCTATATAATATAATCTTAATAGGGCAGTACCTGTTAGGCCGCATACGTTAGGGAATGCTGATTTGTACAATTGTAAGACTTTCTTAAACATTTCTTGTGAAAATTCTTCTTTTTTCTCGTATTGTTCCAGGAGCACTTCAGCTAGAAACGAAAGAAATATCCGTCAATACAACTAATGGAAATGATTTAAGACATTAATAAAAGACGAGTTGCAGAAATTATTGAACGAGTTTGATAAATTCAATATGACATGGATACGAATGTAGAAACCTTTTTTCACATAACATTTATAATTTAAAAAAAACCACCCACTTCAAACACCATTATGTGTTATCAGCTGACTCTATAAAGGTAAAAACCAAAGTACTTCGATCAATAGTATTGTCGTTAGTCAAACGTTTTTTTTTGATATTGAGCAGTTTTGAATTCAATGAAAATAAGAAAGACAAAATAAACATTAAGAATTAATTGATTAATTGCAAAAGTATTAAAATTTATCCGAAAAAAGTGCAATAAATAAAATTCACAATTATGTAGTGGCGTAGTGACCAATCACAGCACCTCTAGGTTTTATTACACGTGTGTATTACCATATTTATGACATGGCCGTACGCCATAGTAAAATGGACCAGTTATGTGATAAAGCATAATTATAATGTGTAGGAGAAGACCGCCGGGTTACCTTACAACTTTTTATTCGACGTAGTCTATGACGGGTCTGTCTGTCTATACAAAAACTTCCGGTAAATTAGTCCAACAAAGTTTGTGCCCTCAACATGCTTTTACGTACACCATTTTATTCTTTGATTTCATACCACCATTTAAAGGCCTCTTTTTGGGGTCGATCCGACATTTCAGAAAATGTCAGGAAGTATTACCTATTCATTGAATGCTGAATCGGATCACAGACATTTGATAAACACAACTGAACGGGGTATACCTCTCTCTCTCTCTCTCTCTAGATTGATATTAAACATATATCATTAGATTTAATGTAGAACACTATTTTATTTCTGTCATTCCCGCTGGCAACGAGACTTTGAAAATTCTAGCTTCTGATGAGGTCAATGACTTAGACATCAAAGCTGGTCTCAAATTGAATAGCAAATAAAGAGCAGGCTCCGCGTGTCTAACACATCTTTTAGATGATCAATCTCAAATAGATGACAGGAAATCTCATCTTTAAATACGAGCATATTCTGGCCTAGATACATGTATTACTTGTAACGTTTGATTTTTTCGAAACATATATTTTAGTTGTTTACCATGTTCTGAGCCTTCGTCTCTGGTAAAAGACATAAGATAGGCCTCGCCATGAAATCTGCCAGTCTGGAACGTCATTTCCGGTCGTTCCTTCAGATAGTAGCCGTCAACAACGGCGGGAAAGGTTATTAGGTTACTGGCTGTCGTCTGCAAGGTTCAACGAGAAGGAAATAGTTCAAACTAAATTCAGTAGATAATTTAGCCATATACCATCAAAGACATTCATGATCTACATTGCAATAACAACTAATAATTAATCAATAAAGGTTTGGTGTAAAATTGTTTAATAAGTAGCAGATTTGATTATTAAAGATTGATATAAAGTCTTACAATAATAATCCTGAGATTGATATTTTCAGTAGAACGTTTTGTTTTGAGTAGCAGTATGACTATTACGCGACTATTTACCAGTCCTTGTGGGTGTGTATGAAACATTTCAAACAATGAATATGTATGTCAGGAAACGTAGCTGATTGCTGGAGACATAGTAACTAACGAGTTGAATATATTTTTTAACATATAAAGTTGATATGATTTGCCCTAGCAGGTGCAACTCAATTCGTGAAAAGTGCAAAAATATCTTAATATTTGTTTCGCTATTTAGTGTATCTTATTAGTGGGAATTGTTCATATAAGAGTTACTTTGAATTATAAGTAATTAACAGATATAAACTGGGGAATGTTAATAAGTTTTTCATGTTTTAACATATAAGGTTGATATGATTTGACCTAACAGGTGCAACCAAATTCGTGAAAAGTGTAAAGTATATCTAAATAGTTTTTGTTTTTGCTAATAAGTGGATCTAATAAGTTAGGATGGTCCACATTAGAGCTATTTTGAATAATAAGTTATTTCCACACAGAAATTAAAGAATTTAATATCTTTTTCATGTTTTCACATATTGGGTTATTTTCGCATATTGGCACGCTACACACGGTACCTAGATATTAACCAGAACTACTGTCGACATATGTCTCTATCGTCCCATGAGCACATGGTTACACGCAGTATTCTGGTACCCATGGAAACAGAACTATGGGAAGGGTAAATTACATCACAGGTGGCACTGTTGGTGGTAAATCCATTGTGTGCGTGTTTCACATGAAACCCATTGTAGGTGGTACGTTTGCTTTATGAAACCCCATTGCCATATACAATTATGCAGTGTGGTTCATTTGTCATATCAAATCAATTTGTAGTGGTACATTTTTTGTTGTGTATGGTATATTTTCATATTTTTAGAACATGCTACTTATTGTTTATATCTACATTGCAAAAGTTGACATATTCTTAGGAGTACAATATGAAAACCAATTTGCAACGAATATGTGATCACGGTTTGAAAAAGGATTCAGGCTTTTTCTGATTTGTTTATTGGTTCTAACATTCCACTGTAAGATTTCAACAAAAAAATCATGTTTATGTACATTATTTTTAAATCTTAAAAAATGGACTGCTTGGTACACACTTATACATCTTTAAAGCAAAATGAAACTAATTGGTCTCTGCTGATTTTATATTGCGGCGCTGTTTAAAAGTATAACCATATTTACCCTTCCTGGTATGAATCTGATTTGGGTCATGGGTAGATCCTTAAGAAACTGTTTATAATCGACCGAGTTAGATCCCGAGGGGCACCAGTAATCCTGACATGTAAGATTTACATTGTAACCCTTCTTCCAGGACGATTTCGCCATAGCCCAGAAAGCCAAAGGAGAACCACTCTGTATAACTGCATACTTGAATAAACCTATAAATAAAAATGGGCAAAGTCAAATACATTTAGATGCTAATAGCCAATATCATCACAAGAGGCCTTTTTAAAGTTCAGAAGAAATCATTAAAACGTTTTCATCACGTTTGACCCCTTTTAGGTTATTCAGAAGACGTTGCTTCACAAGTTTTCAACATGAACAATAAAGCATAGTGGGGAATCTGTATATGGCCCATGTGCTATTGAGTTCAGGGAAAGGTTATTCATTTGAACATGCTACTGTATTTTGGTTCCAAATTGGTAAAACGGGTTTTGTAAACACATTAAACCCTATGACCTTATATAAAGGATGCTACCAACCTGATATCATGACTAAAGACCTCTCAGTGCTTCAGAAGTATTTTTGGATATAATTGATCCCAAATATTTTGTATGAACAATTTCATAGCCTCAATCCCAGCATGGGATAATGATTCTATGTCTTTCCAATCTTCATATTTGACATCTGTGAATTTTGAATATAGGTCAAGGTCATTTTTTTTAATCGCAAACGTTGTTGCGCTCCATCCCAAGAAGCGAATTTAAATAGCGTGACTCTAGGCCTTTTGTTTTTGTTTTTAGAAGAAGTCGTTAAAAGGGAAACGTGACGGACGATAGACAATGGACGACGGACGCCCCACGACAGCATAAACTCACTTGTCCTTCGGGCAGGTAAAGTAAAAATGATATGATATGTTTTTATAATAGCATGCAAATTTGATGTAAAGATTTCCGGAAACGATCATCAAACTTCAGTTTGTGGATCCGTCCCGTTTCCTAAAAACATGTAACTTCAATATCGTCTCCAAATAAGGCGATGATGAGATGATTTAATATAATAACATGTGTTGTTTTATTTGTTAAATGTTTGTTTTAGATTATAACTAAGACGATACAGAGAAAGTTATATTTTAAAGGTATTTGTTAATTTTTTTCTCAAAAATATTAACAGACTTAAAAGTACCTTTTGTAAGAGGTGAAATTAAATGGAATCCTACATCCGCTGCGCCTGCGCTGTGACCATCTATTGTCACGCGATTAGGATCCCCGCCAAAAAAATGGATGTTGCCATTGACCCATCTCATGGCTGCCACCTGGTCGAGGAAGCCATAATTTCCCTCCAAACCTTCCTCCTTCGCACCAAAAAAGCCTAGAGGTCAATGTAGAAGGAAAATTAATTGTTGCGAACATTTCCATTGGCGTTACAATGTAAATACAAATGAGAAAACTGTTATTGTCAGAGGTGCCACCGTCAGAGGGCGCTACAATGGAGCCACACATCCGACGGACTGATAAGGTCTTTGTCTACAGTTTGGTAAAAAATGGCATTGCAATCTCGACCTGTCGCGTTTCAGTGTTGCCCATTTGTTGGCTCGTCTCCGAGAAAGGGCATTGCATAATAAAGTGATTATGCGTAAGTGTAATATGTTCTGAGGACATTCAGACTCTGTGTCGGAGATATTATACTGGCTAATAAAGCTGATTTTCGGAATCTATAAGGATGGAAAATATAATATCGACAATGATTAAATGAGTTCTCAGTGGAAATTACGTGATATTGTAACAAAAGCCAATGGGTGATAATATTTCGCTCCAAAAGTGACTATATATATATATAAAAAAAAAAGTTACCAAAGGCCCCGAGTCTGTAATTGAAGTTGATGACGATGATGTCCCCGAATCCTGCCAAAATATCCCCGTCAAACATTCCGCCCATCCCGACCTCATTTGACCCTCCGTGTATGTAGAGCAGCACCGGAAGTGGACTATTCGTAGATGTATTCTGAGGGGCACAAAAACAAAAGACACATTACAGACCTATACATCCTCAACCAATTCTTTAATCACGCTCAACGTCGTAATAATTGTGTACTTATTGAAGTGGAAATCACAATCATTACGTTGCACACAATGGACCTATGACGTCAAACATCAAGGCATTCATCCGTAAAATCTCAAGCTTATCTAGATAGATAAACGAAACATTATCATGTTTTCAGTGATACTGATTAACACCTAGGTTGGTTATACATCAAGGCACGATAGTTTAGTGGTAGGATGCCGAGCTCGTGACCGAATGGTTGCAGGTTCGAGTCACGGCACGGCACTGTGTTGTATCCTTGAACAAGATACTTTCTCCGCTTGTTCCAATCTACTCAGCTGTAAATGAGTACGTGGTTGGGCAGTGCTCGAATTGTTGAATGCTAGCTGTTAACGCCTAAAATGCAGCACCGGCTGCAAACTCCCGAGGGAGTTGAGAAAGATTTTTCTTGGTTGCAAAGGCCCTATAACCACGGATAATAATTTGTGAAGCGCTTTCAGACGACCTTGGTTGTGATAAAGCGATACACAAGAACCTCGAATTATTAATAACATAATCAAATAATCTATAACTTGTACAAAGGTACGGGACAAATTATCGGGTTTAGTATAACCAATATGATGACGCCATTCGTTACCAGAAAAGGTGAACAAATCTATGTCACAAGCTCAGTTACATAAATGTATCAAACTATTTAACAGTAAGGTAAAGGTGTGCAATTTATATGTATTGGTGGTTGGTGTTCTACAAAACAGACGCTCTAGAACACGATGCAACAGCACAAATAAAGCTCGTGCCTCTCATAAACAAATATGAATTCAAATAGGATTATCAGTTTTAAATTTACATGAAGAATATCCTGAAAACAGATCGATTTCCGCCAAGAATGACAATGGGATTAGCATCGACTAACGCTTTTCTCCTAGCGTGACCCTGGTTTAGGAATGCTGCACCATTACCGCGACATAAACCTTACAACATACACCATACACATCTATCAATAGACCCCACTTATCTAAATCTGACAAACAAAAACCATATTTACTGTAGCGTTGATGATAATGTAGGATTGATACATTTGATTTATTCTCAGGTTATCAAAATAAAAAATAAAATAAAAACAGACACAATTTAATTATTGACTGAAGCGGAGAACCGTTAAACGCGGAGGAACACACTTCACACAAAAGCTACATTTCCGCCAGATTTTCAGTTTGACTGACAACGAGTATTAAATGTACAAGCACGTTCCAAAATTAACCTTTTTATTTTAGTCCTTTCTGAATTCCGTGAGATCAACTTTTGAGATTTTTTTTCCATCTCAAAGCTGACATAAAACTCTCGAAAGCGTTTTGTGAATGGGTCGGAATGTGGTCTAATCTGTTCCGTAACTTCATTACACTTTATCCCCGTATAGTGAAGCCCCGATCAGCACTTGCCGGGGATAAACCTATTTCACGTCCCTGATCTACTCACAGATAATTATGTAATCAAATTTGTTATCGTGCCAAATAATTTCACATATTTCATGAATGGATTTTCAAAACATCAAGAGAGAAGTTAAAATGTGAAATAAATTTCTAATTGACTAGGATACAGCATAAACATGCCGAGGTCCTCAATGATAAACCAATACAGCAATCATTCCTTCAAACAGGAGAGTTCCAAAAATAGGACGGAACACAAAGTCTGCCTCATGGGCCTGCAGCGAGCATGATAGTGTCTCCGCGGTTAATCGGACGCCATGGGAGGCAGTCGGAAGGTTTGACGGCTTACGGTAATTGAGATCGTTTATTATGTCATTAAATATCGGAATACTGGGATCAAGTTAAGTTGAAATATTCTTGTTTTTAATTTTCAAACCTGCGGTTTATCGTGTACAGTCTCCATTTCATTTCCTCAGAATTGATCTCGCTCCATCCTACCAGACGTTTATGTGTTAGTGGGATACGACGAATTAGCGGCTGATAGAACATCTCACTGTGAAGGTAATGGTATTGAGAATCTAAAAGATTACATGGAATGCACACCACAGCATTAAACACGGCTTTTCCATGTCCTTTGCCCTGCTTTTCCTCTCCGTTAATGCAACAAGTTATTTCATAAAATACTAAAAAAATAATAATTAAAATTTCAATTTGCTTGGCATTAGAAATGAAAGTTCTCGATTTATTTATACTCTAATCGGTTAAAAATGTCAATGAATAGAATTTTCAAGATGCCAGGTTAGGCTGTTGGCTCTGGTGACAGGGGGCGTCTCTCAAGTAAATCAAGCAGTTATGGAGGATTATAAAAACATCATACTTTATCTGCAATCGTTTTTGGTTCGGAAATTGGTGTTAAAGCTTGCTCGTAGATCCCAATAGGATTTATTTGTTGATTGGCTCAGTGTCATAATTATTGTGTTGATCATATAACAAATATCAACAACGCTAGTCATCAATCAACAGTTAGACTAAGTTTCTCAGCTTTGGTTAATTCGCAAATTTCTATTTGATAAGATATGTGTCAACTACAGGAAAAGACTTGTTAAATCCTGTGTGTAGAAATCATATTCAATTAAAGCCTTTGGGTTCGGTCGATGCCTGGATTTATCGACCCGAGAAAAGATATATTAACCGAGGACGCGTACCTGGATTTATCGACCAGATATATTGACCGAGGACTGCAATATATCTTTTCTCGGGTCGATAAATTCAGGTATCGACCGAAGTTAAAGGCTACAATTGTTTTATTATTTTCAAAACAGTAATGTAAGCAATCTGAAAAACAACACAACAAAAAAGCTACGGAAGCGGGATGGTGTGTTGTTTGGAGACACGTCATAATTCTATTTTTAGAAACACGCAGTCCTTCAATAATGAAGGTCATTATCTTTTATATTATTTCCGACAAGTGATTGGCCAGGAGTGTATCACGTTTCCACCGATAAAAACCGATATTGACTTGGAGCGCGTGATTGTTGTTGAAGGACAGAATGTTTCTAAAGATAGAATTATGACGTGTCTACAAACAAAGCACCGCCCTGCTTCCGAAGCTCTTTTGTTGGTTTGATTTTCAGATTGCTTACATTACTGTTTTGAAAATAATAAAATAATTGTAGCCTTTAACTTCGGTCGATACCTGGACTTATCAAACCGAGAAAAGATATATTGACCTCGGACTGCGTCTCGCGTCCTTTGTCAATATATCTTTTCTCCTGTTGATAAATCTAGGTATCGACCTCAGCCAAAGGCTATACTTGAATAATAAAAACCAAGTGATACAAATATGTGAGTAATTTTAGATGTTGAAGTAAACCTCATGCCTTTATACAATTTGAAAAATTAACTTAACTCGAGTTAAATAAACAGGATACTCAACCATCACGAGTTTGGGGACCTTTTTCTCCCGCAACGTTTAGATCCTATCTAGAAAACCATATGTTTTTCTTGGGAAACATTATTTCCGTTTCCGTTCTGGGAAACTTTTGTCATTTATTATGACGTCCCAATGGAATATGACGTCGGAAGGCATTGTTTCCTGACGTCATAATTAGAAGATTGATCAATGCAATTACGTCCAAGGTTTTACCCAGTCGGGAGTGAAGGAACCCATAGTGAGGACGGAAGTATCAATGGATAAAAATCATTTTCTTGATTATCACAAAGAATCCTGATTAAAGATGATGATGATGGTGATGGTGATGACGATGATGATGATTGTATTGTATCGATATTGTAAAAAATCTTACCTACTGTCCCATTGGTAACACGGACTAAATTAAAGTATATATTTATATATACAGTTTTTTGGTTGATGTAATTATTCCGTCTGTTTTTTCTAGATTTTGATTCCGTATTTTGTGACATCAGTTCTCAATATTTATGTAAGATGAAGATATGTCAAGGCCAGCTACCATTGGTTAAAATGGGTCAAGGTTAATGCCCATTGGTCAGAGAGGTAGCAGCGAGAGCCCCGTGGGGTGGAAGCTGATAAACCCCTCACTCTCGCTGCTGAATCAAGACGCAATATTGGTTTGAGAAAAAATTGTGAAAACTTAAATTGATCCCTCCTTCCTCCCCTATCAGCTACCTTGCAATTTTAATCATCTAGATGTCCTGCAGCAATTTTTTCAAAAATGATTACGATGTAGTTTACTTATCGTGTTGTGTCATTTGTCAATGAACTTGTTTTGAAAGTTTTAATAGGACGCTTATATTTGTTATTAATTGTAATATTAATTATATAAAGAACAAAGTTTTGTCGGTCATATTTGTATGCCTGGTTTATCTTCAGATGTTAGGTTTGTTTATGTGCAGCGTCAATATCCCATGTGTTATCGGTGATAACTAAGTGAGTAAACACTTACCAGCTGGTCTGAGCATGGTGAAATCCTACCTCCCTCTCACTGGTAAGGGGTTGGGGCAGCCCGCTCGCAGCATTGCGTTATTACTTACATGTACATGTCTTAAGTTAATGAGGGTGGCGGTATCTTTTGCCGCACCTTCACTAAAATAATATTTTATGAAATAATAAATGTATTGAAATTTAGATCAAAGATAAAAAATTAAATTACGGCATCCTGATAAAGGTTAGCCAATTACGTCAATACCATTGTCTGTGTGTTATCTATTATTTAAGTGAACTGAGCTTCATTGCATGTCATAAATTAAGGCTAGCATGATGCTAGGTAGCTGATGCTGCAGTGAAATCTTGAAAGGATTTAGGAGGTACAAAAATCAGGACGTAGTAGCTCTCGGGTTTGTGAGGTAAGGTATGTTGCCTTGGTTTTGCTTTGTCCATTACACGCTCAAAAGCATGTTTTATGACACACCACTCCTCTTCCCGAGGGTTAATCTTTTGCGGTCATATCCCCGTAACCTTTATATTACCCCCCCCCCCCCCCCCCGAAGGTTAACCTTGTTTTGCCTGCCCCCACTGGCCTCAACATTTACCTCCATTTCCCCCCTTCCACGAGG